TCCCATCTTTTATGTTTTTATTTACTCGATTTTGTAAGGTTACAAAATATTTCTTGTGATTCTGATGACTGACTTTTCTTTTGCACAGTTATTGTCGCTCATCATTAAATCTACCGGCTAAATTATGAGCGAATTCTAAATCGACTTCATTTGAACAATAAACCGGTGTTAAACAAATCGTACTGCTTCCTTCGTAGATTTGAAATGATTCAAGCATAGAAATTAATCGAGAAAATGAAACAAAATTCCTGGCCATGCAGGGGATCGAACCCTGGACATTCGCGTTATTAGCACGACGCTCTAACCAGCTGAGCTACACGGCCACATATGAGAACTGCATTATTTTGTATGATAAGAGAATTATTAAATTCAAGATGCATGACGCATTAATTAAACAAACGTTCAGTATTAAATAGGTGTAACCGTATATATTTCTAGGTACATAAATCAATTTCAACAATTTCGTTTCCTTTTGGAGATTAGTCAGTCTAGTCACGGTGGGACTCAAACCCTGGACATTAGCTACCCTTGTCAAATCTTATATTCTTGAAGTTTTAACATCCAGAAATATTTTACATAACATGCTGCTGATATTAGTAAACATATAATTGTAAACAGCATAACAGCTAGGTTCGTTTGATACTTTATTTCACTTAAAATGAAGGTAAATATTAGAAATGCCATTAGTTTTAGATTTTTGCCAATAAAAACATGTTCGTTAGGTCCATTGATGTCCGCCACCTTAGCTAAAATGAGTTGTTTATACATTTCTGCATAGATACTGATGAATGTTCGTGTTTACTATTCTTTGACCAGCTCCAAGGTCTACGGGACCTTTTTGGAGGAGAATTAGAACACGTCCTACGTCGACCCTCCACACTCCGTGAATGTAACTGCAGCACTGACAGTGCATCCTTAATCTTCTCTCTGTACCTCCTGTTAATGAAAGCGTACAGCAAAGGATTTCCAAACGAGCTGATAAAATAAAAGTTTATGTGAGCTTTATTGAACCAGAGAGGAATATTAGGGTCCTTAGTAAAAACTCTCCAGGCCTCCTCCAGCACTGTCGGTATCCAGCTGATGATAAAGAGGAAGGATATGGAGAGGATGGTTGTGATTGCTTTCTTGCTGGAGAGGTTATGGTTCTTTGTGTGTTTATGTGCCAGGAACCACAGTGCTAGGTTACAGGGTAGAATTAGGAGGGACGGGTATCCAGATCTGAACGTTGTGGATGATACCGATAATGTTCCCTAACGGGCTGCTCACTGTTATTTCACAGATTGTTTCTACTTCTTTGTTAATGTTAACCTTGACTCCTCCAAAGAAAGCGATGAAGCTGGGTATTGCAGCCTGGACCCAGATCACTATCGAAACTGCTCTCGCAGTGTTGGTTGTCAGATGATGTGCTCTGAGAGGTAGCATACAAACAAACACTTTCACTATGGATAAACACGAGATAAAAGCCATACCAGCCAGCACAGAAATAATATAAATACTCCCCTCAAAAGTACACACACTCTCCCCCAGTTTCCAGCCTCCCAACAGATGAGAACACAGACTTGGCAGAATCCTGGTGAAGAGGTACAGTAAATCAGAGATAGCTAGGTTCCTGATGATAGCAGTGGTGAAGCGGTCCACATCACCAGTGGGGATCAAGGAGCGGGAGGTGGTGAGAGTGAGGATGTTGCCTATAACCCCGGCTAAGAGACAGATTGAGCACCAGACAGCTAGGAGAACCCTGTCTGGAGTGGAGTATAGAGTGGAGTAAAGTTCTGTCATGGTACAGCTGTAATATTCAGAGAGTTAAGTTAGAGAAAACACGTGATAATATAAGTTGAAGAACGTTGAATAAAACGAAATTTTATTTTCTTGGCGATTGAAATACTGATAGAGATATGAACATATCTTTGTCTGTATCGTTGTGTATGTAATCAAAGTATCGATATACAGAAGAAGTACTGAAAAAATCATCATACTAATTCGAATGTATAAATTGATAATGCATCAAAACATAAATTCAAACCAACTTCAAGTCGTCAGATTACATAAATATTGAACACGTACGATACTTTTCATATTTATCATGTTCGCCGGCAGCAACAGAAGTAATGCAAATTTAATTGAGAAACTGCTACGCTGAAGCCACCTCGACTTTTTAAAATACTTTTTTTCATAGAGGGAAGCCAAACTCGAACTTTCTCTAGTCTTGCATGGGGACAAAACGTTTTCTAGGAACTTACAACTTCATGACTAGTTATCTAAAGTTATGCGTTGTCTATTTGTGCACCTATTAGTATTACCTTATTACAGCATAACGAAACAAATCAATTACTTTGCTTCGTTTGACAGCTTTCAGAGGAACTGAAGCCTTTTCTACGCACGTGTTTTCATTGAATACAAGTATTTGGCACTCTTCAAGTTAACAAAGGATCGCCACGAATAGTTTTCTCAAGAAGCTGTTAAAAAATAAAAAGTATTTTTCAAAAAATGTAATCAATAAAATTTTCGACCTAAAATTATTTACCCCAATAGAACTAAAATATAGAGATCTTGTAAATTCGGGGTTGCACATTAATGGACATTGCATGAATCAAGAAAATGAAATATTCTTTCAATTAAATATGTAGGTACTGCACCAGTTCCCAGACGTCTCAATAGTTACAGACTAAATAATCGTATGGGTTCAGGCTTGAGGAACTTCATGGTTGCCATAGTTACTGCACTATAAGTCTGTAAAACAGCGTAAGGAAGCAACAGATTCCCGGATACTAACCCCAACCGTATCAAACGAAACATATTTTGGGGAATTCACGGTTGTCTGTGAGATTACCTAGGCTACGTCTTTCCTAATTGCCGGACCGGGGCTAAGATCTGTTCCCTATTTTGGATAACAGCTATGGTGTCAACATATAGACTGCAATAAACAAAATGGGTTTCCATTGGATTTACAGTAGGAACCCATAGTGTACGGTTGGAGACGCGGCATAGTGATCCACTCGTGTGATCGCTGGCCTAATTCTCGACAGTGCACCAGTCTGAGGCCCAACCTCGTCACAAACTATTCTATGTTATGACATTATGTCAAAAGACTACATCGACATAATAAACAGCAAAACACAACTACAAATGCCTGACCTCAGAGCTAAAGTAGAAGGTGAGTCAATGCTAAAGGCCGAATAACTACATACTTAACTACATCGGTCTACCAACTGTGTCACACCGAAATAGACAAAAAGGACGCACCATGACAACTTTCAAACCACTAAATATCAGCCTATATAGGGCCCCACGGGAGCTATGCCATAATTTCAAGCGGATAAAGCACCAAACATTACAAAAACGATTATGGCAATACCTCACAAAACTAATAAAGGGCCAGATACTCAGATATATAAGTGTTTAGTAGGGAGCATCGCACGGCTCTCGACAGACGAAGTGAAACAAGGAAAATAACTGGTAAAAACGTAAAGAAATAATCGACGTTTCAGCACTGATCATTGGACTTTTACTTATATTACTAATCTTAGTGAACTATTACATTATAAACTACATTATTTTACGTATTATAACATGGTATTATCATGTTATCACCCGATCAGTTCATTAGACAATTAGATAGTTGAGCTGTAACTGGATCGTTAGCAAGTGAGAGCAAATTGTTTGGAAAACCAAGTACTTCGATTCGATTGGGCCGGTAACGGATATATTCAGAAGTTAGTACAACAATAAGTATAACAACAAACACAAAGCGCAACTTTCTGAAGTAGTTTTAATCAAAAAAACGTTCAAAATTGCTTAATGTAATCGACATGCTTTTAAAGGTCAGAAGGACAAACTTGCAGATTAATCGTCGTCATTTCAGAGCGTTATTGGAATGAAAACCTTCCTACGTCCACTGAAATATGATGGACGTAGGAATGTTCGTTACTTTTCTAGAGTTACATAGACTCCTAAGAAGAATTCTGACGTTGCGAAGTATTAATTAGGCTAGGGCTGCATCTTAGACACGTGATATATTACCGTGCGACATTACAGTTCTTGTGTGGCCATGAGAAAGGAAGTACAATTTTTAAATTTTCATAAATAGTTATAATTTTTAGATTTAAAAAATTTAATTCACCGGATTTTTAAATTTAAAAAATTGGAATGTTCTGTTCGATATAACCAATATTAGAATTTTAATTCTTATCTTTTAGGATACAAAAAAAAACTTCAACACATCAGTATACCTAATTCGTATAAAAACGGTCGTGTCACGGTGCTAATTAATTCATGGTGAAATTAAGTTAGCAACTACAAACATCTCTTGTCTATCTGACAAACAATTAAACCGACGTCCGACAGCCATGACGATTTGTCGAACAGTAAGAAGGCTATGTACTGCTAATTTTTGACACAATATCGAACAAAATATCAAAGTAATACCAACACATTCTAATTATATGTATACGTCAAATAATAAACATTGAATTACAGTAAAATTGAAATGGAATCAAAAGAATACATAAAATAAACGTTCCATGACGTTCGTTCCCCGTTCTTTCGAAATTTATTCTATAAATTATTTTATCTTGTAAACAAAGTTGACGTGCACGGCGACAAAATTTCAATGATCATTATAAGTAAAGACGGGAAGTTAGCTACAAGACAGCTAAGAAACACAAATGGCGTTATTTTATTTACGGTCTTCACTTTAATCTGCTTGTAAGTTCTAGTTTTTGTTGACCACTTGGAATATCACGTGCGCGTGTGTTGCACTTCAAGAATGTCACGGGGAAACTCAGAACTAACATATTGTAACCGAGTGTATAAATATTAAATGGTTACAATTTTGTGAAACAAAGATTTTAACAACCATCATTTCTTCTGACAACATCTAATTCTAAAGAGGATCTGTGAGCCGACCTACAGGCTACACCGACCAACTATTAACAGTATTTCCTTTTCCAATCTAACAGATAAAATTGTCTGATTAATTTACTAACCATACCCTATTTCAGTGTAAGAACGTCAGCTGAAGTGATGATAAAATACATTTGTAGATTAGTAAAAGAACTTTCCTGGCACTACGTATCAATATCTGTCACATTTCATGGTACCCACAATCTCAACCTTTGTGAGAAAAACGGAGTTGATATGAGCCTGTCTGGTGAGTTTAGAGGAATAAAACGTTCAGAATTACACAAAATGGCGATGATTATAATTATTGTTAAAAAGAATCTGTTGATCAATTTTCAAGAAGACTCTATTATAATTAATAGCAATGATTTTAAATTCATTCCATACATTGTGCTTGCGTCACAAAACTTGTTGTTTTCAGTATTTCTGAAAGGAGACATTGCCAAAGGAGTGAAGGAGCTGACGACTCCTTACAAGGAGCTACACGATACCAATCCTCCTTTAGTGACCATCATGCTGGGAGATATGCAGCTCAGTGACATAGAGCGATTTGCTCAGATTTTATCCCAGAAAACTGTTGTAAACCACCATATCTGGTTGATATCAGAGCAGTTCCTGTTGGCTTACATCGATTTATACGGTACATTTCCTCAATATATGAACCAGAAGTTCATATGCTACCACTCTCCGTCAAAACTACACTCAGGACATCACAAAACAGGCTGTACCGGCTGTACCCTCGCTCAAAACGTATCCCTTGCTCTCGACCTCAAGTTGTTCATCTCCCTAGGAGTGGACGAGATAGTGAATGTAGGTGGAAGTAGTGGCTCTCCTCAGGGACAGAGTGATAACGTGGAGCTGTTGTATTTGGATTCAGTGGACAGGACACTTGTTAAGCTGGTTTGGACTAAACAGAGTTTAGGCTCACTTTCAGAGACGTAAGTTATTCAACTTCGGTGACTGCCGTTATTCTATTTTATGATTTTTGTCTCAGCCCCGTAATTCTTCGCCAAAATCTAATTGGTTGCAACTTCCAAAGTCCGACTAAACTATAAAATTTTGTGTTGGCGTTAGAGAGAGCATTATAAGAGCTAAAAATGTTGTGTAGAAAGTAACCGTAACGAATTCAAATGACGATAATATTAAGTATGATCAATGATCAATTATCATTGCAGGTATTTAAGCTGAGTCCATAACAACTGAGAAGTACTAACTATAACTTGTTAATAAATAACTTCTTAAGTTAAATCGCAATCCCTCAGATTGAAATTTGGTCACTTTAGGTCATCCTACCCATCTAACTGTAGTGAGTATACACTATACAGCTGTGCGGAATCGCACTATTTGCAAAATATTACCGCACCTACATAATATGTTGCCTCTGGTCTCAAAAAGTCAATTAATAATGTCCTGGCAGAGAAGTAGAAGTAAACGAAACAGCACTACAATTAACAGGAATACGGGGTCTTGGTCCCTCTATCTGTAGTCCCGGCTGTAAACCAGGTCAGAGGATTAATTATCGTAATTAATTAGTGTAATTAGTGTAACAATAAGCGTTGTTTAATGATAGCTACACTTATAAGTTATAGTTATAAACCTATAAAATAATTTAATTTATATTAGGCAACAGTAGTCGACTTTGTACATGGTCTTGGAGGGAGGATCATAAGGCATTAGTTATTTTCAAAAATATTGCGATAGGATATTTTTGATCAATGCTCGAAAACTGATCATGAAATATATTTGTCTCGCTAGGCTGCAACCTTCCATTCTCTACCGGTAAATTGCGTTTTAACCCATGACTTGCAAATTTTGTTTGTTTACAATCTTTGTTGAATCTAGAACATCAAGGAAAATCGAAGAATTTGTGTAATATAAGAAGCGTTTAATAGGAAGCGTTCAATAGGAAACGTTTAGTAATATTTATAGTTATATTGAGCTTAAAAAGTCGCCTGTAGTCGCTTTTCGTAGGCGGTTATATTTATATAAAACGCAATTTTCCGGTAAATAATGGAAGGTTCCAGTCTACCGAGACAACCCATATAAGCATATAGCATTTTATCCGCTGGGGAATGACCAATACAATTCGGGTTTAGTAGCTTACTAGTACTAGTCGAGTAATGCTCATTTTGATAGAAAATGGCTGTTTTACAATCCTTGTAGATTCAATCAGAACACTAAGGAAAATCAAAGAACAGTACGAAATGCACTATCATGTTCAACTTCCTGCTATTTTTAAGCAATGTAAACAACAAACATGCAAGTAGCCAATATGCTAAAAAGTTTCGTCTCCTACAGGAGAGACATTTTTCAGAAGAGCAGGCGAACCTAAATCCTGCTTTCACTGCAACAACTGCTTCTTACTCAGGCAGGTACGTGTCATCCAATCTAACATCGGGGTAAGCACAGGGCTCCAATGCTCTATCTTATAGTGGTCACGATCTATCCAATAGTGATAATGACTACAGCCCCCTAAGAAGAAGAAGAAGAAGATCCAATCTAATAGGGATGTGTGGCGAAAGCTGTGAAATGTTCACAGCTTTGATAATGTAGGAATTAGGATGAATGTTTTTAAAAGTGGTGATGATGTTTATGTCATTATTCTTGATTTTATTTGATTTATAATTATATGGTAGGGACCACTATATAGAAACTTCAATCATGTCTCATTAGATTATAATACTAGACTAAGATAATAATAGGACAATAAGTTGAGATTGAGTTGAACACCAATAACCATGACCACTCAAGTACATTCAAAAAACATGTGAACCAGGATGCTTAAAACCACCTCTGCAAACAATGCTGAGGCAGTGGCGTAACGAAGGGGAGGGTACGCCAATAGGGCCGAGGGCGCTTGTTCGGCGGGGGAGGGGGGGGGGGGGTGGGCACTTTTTGCAACGTTACGCCACTGTGCAGAGGACAGTAATTTGCAAATCTCAATAGAAAACCTCATCTCTAAACAATAAGATAATTTCACAATTTCGTTTATTAAATCCGAATATTTTTGACACCACTGATCAGCTAATTGAACCACCTGCCCTGATTTGAAAATCAATACTCGTTTATATTGATTCTCTGGTACTTTTGGAGGTGACACGTCTGCAAAAGACTGGTATATCTATATATAGCTCCAGAGAATAATAATTTCAAATTTTAATTGTATATAACTATATAATGGACACCTGGAACACTTAATGTGATTACAATTCTAGAGAGCGAAAATATGAGAGGGTGTAAATTTAATGTTTCAAAATTATCACACCGCTGATTTGAACATCGAAAGAAGTCGAACGAGTCCAGTAGAGTGATTATAGTGAAGCACCAGTTACCATCTGCCCGCTTTAACACATAATGACTGCAACCAGGACTCCAGGAGCATTTTGTGAAAGTGAAACCACTGTCAACTAAGTACCATAATCAATAACGTAACCAAACCGTGAACTTGCAATAACTTGATCTAGTATTCGTAGCGAGCTGGTATATCCAGCGAAGCGTTATGTATGATTATTTGGAAAACTGTCAAAAGTACTAAAATTCTAAACGTTGACCTGTAATGTTTCCAGGTGTCTAATGGAAGTAGTGGCCACTGTACAGAGTGTGTCACTACACAGAAACCTAACGAGGATAATAGTAGGTGTGTAGATATCGAGCTGGAACCCCATTTATACAGGTGAGAGTTGTAGTACGTGCCACGTGGTATTTATATGTGATATTTTAAGGAGATTAGGGATCGAGCACATATAATTAGGTAAGACGTTTTTTGCAATTTACAAATGATTATTGTATAGAATTTAAACTAACGTAGATGTTTCCAACCCCCTCCTCCCCGGCCTGCAATCAATATGTGAACGATCCCTTGGTGACTATTAGTATTCCTCTCTGTGCAGTATGTGACCCACATTTAGAGGTTGTGGTTCAATATCATAAATATCTTGATCAATATACCCGAGTCCCGATATGGTGTGGTAGACTGTTCTATATTAAGCACTTGTGGTTATCCGGCTGGACAGTGAAATAAAAACTATTCGATGGTGGTTAATTAATTAACACCATGATCCTTAGGTATCTTCAACATGTTTCTATACAGATAGAAACATGTAATTTTATAGGTTATAATACATACATATAACCTATTTTTCTAGGTTAGAAAACCCAAATCTCAATATTACAGGACGATAACGGGACTGGTTCTAATCGTGTTTAGTCTAGGAGGAATACTGAGTGTGGTGCTAACATTAGCAGTCTTCCTCAAGAACAAAGCAACCCCTATAATCCGCGCTGCTAACAGGGAACTCTGCTATGTAATATTCGTGGGTAAGTGGTGTTTTTAACTGACGAGGTATAGCCTTCAGGTGGTGGATCCCAAAATCCAAATTACAATAGTCTTACAGGAGGAGAACCTGAATAAATTCGTCAAACGATAGCAAATACGTTGCAAAAGAAACAAGTTAAAAGCATAATGGGCGACATAGGAAATTGCATGATTGAACTGTGAATGACAAGATGAAGTTTGAACTGAATTTGTAGGTTTATACCCTACCAGGACGCGCGCCAAGAACAAATATTTCACCCGTTAAACTTAAAACTGAATAAATTACCATAATACGAAATAAGAAATGCGTGGCTGTGATCAGTGCTGTGTGCATTACGATCATTTTGTACAAATAGTGAAAATTCAAAAAGTTGAACTTCAGATAATAACTAAAATATTAAAAAATTGTATATTCAGATATTATTAATGATATTGATACTAACTTTCATTAGGTGAAATGAATAAAATAACATGGATATAAATGAAACAATGAATATAAATGAAGAAATGTAAGTGTATAAATCGTTAGGTTAAGATGCATACCTAGCGAGATGATCAGATTAGTTGCACTTATAATTTATGTAATATGTTCATTGTTCTATAGTAGCTCAAGTTCTGATACTTTTGGCAAAATAAGAAAATAAGAGATATACTCTTAGGTAAGAAAATAAGAAATATACTCTTACGTAAGTCGCCTTTGATCGCAATCTTATTATCAAGCCACATATTGAGTATCGACCCACATATTGACCTCAAATTAAAACATGTCATTAATTGTAAAACGCTTTAGCCCGGCCTAGCCAAATATGGTTTAACAATAGTTAATACTGTAGTGTTAGTAAACACTGCTATAATAGTGGTTATACTGGTCAATATAGCTGTACGTGCATGGCCAGATAGTCAACTTTACAAAAACAGAGAAACAGCTAAAAGTAAAAGTAAATAATAAATTTACGTCTATCAATTGATTGCTCACCCAGGTAGAGTTGTGTTTAGCCAGTCTATTGACTGCTGAAATGAAATAACCAATTTTCCTGATTGATTTAGAAAATAATTCCTTGAGGAATCTTCGAGATTAATCGAAGAAAATGCTAGAAACTCTTTATTTCGCGTTGTGGTCCATAACTACCCGTCGTGGTCAGTCGTCATGGCTTCAAATTGCTTATCATTCTTAATCCTGACCCCAGCCCGGACAATTTGGCAAATTTGGAGTAATTTATATCTAAACTACGCTGTAGTTAGCTTAATATCTAAATCAAACACTTTTCAGGACTCATGCTGAGCTTCATATCAGTTATCCTGATGGTCCTTCCTCCAGGTAAATACACTAACTTAACTATTGTTGATAAATTATACGTTCTTTATATTGGGTTTAACAAATTTCGCAGGCAACAAATTACTCAACTGGTTATTGTCATGTAAGTGAAGGAGCGCACTTTTTATAAGCGGATAATAACATTTCATTTACATGGTTATCGGCTGATCAAGGTCATTTTTATATTATTCGTATGATGGGTTGATATTTAACCAAAGTTGCCTAGACACCGTCGGGTGTAATCCAAACGATTATATCCTAAATTCACGGTGGCAAAATGCCATAATAAAATGTCATAAGCCAGTTTTACGATCTTAAAGTGAGTGCTAACAAGAGAGTTTGTTGTTGGCGAATGATCGACTTGGTCTGCAGATTAAACTTCAATTTACAGATGAATAAGTTATAAATGGAAGCTTTTCGGCCGTTTCGTTGACCGCATCATCACAGTTTTGGCTGAATTTAGGCCAGTGACCAATGAGTGAGGTCACGATCAAGGTACTGGAAGCTGAATATCCGGCGAAAACTTTGATAAAAGGCCGAAAATGACCGTGTTAAATTGTTACGTGTCACGTATTGACTGTATTTAAACAACATGGTCTTAAACCAGGCTTTTTGTAAGGAAACAAATTCAATTTCGATTATCATTTTTAAACACAAATTTGGAGATAAAATGTAAATAGCAGTAAAAACACAACTGTTTTAAGTTCGAAGTCGAAACTTTTCTCACACTAATATTAATTGTACAAAATCGCCCCTCCAATCTTTACAGAGTTGGCTCACTTATAGTTATAGTCTCTTCTCACTGTAATATAGGTCTCCTCCTCTCCATGTTGTCCTGTACCTAAAACACCATCATCTCCACCCTGACCTGGGTTCCTGTACCTACAACACCATCATCTCCACCCTGACCTGGGTTCCTGTACCTACAACACCATCATCTCCACCCTGACCTGTGTTCCTGTAGGCCGTCACCACACCATCATCTCCACCCTGACCTGGGTTCCTGTACCTAAAACACCATCATACTCACGATTGATTTAATTTTTGCATAAACATAATTTCCATACGGTACTTGGCGTGGTTTGTGCAATTTAAAAAGTGCTGGTGGTCAGTTACAACTGGTCACAAACCCAAACATAAATTATTGTACAATCATTAATATTAAATTTGATCACAAGAAACTGTTAAAGTTTTTTAGGCAGATTTAAACACAATATAATCAACACCATCTCGACATGATACGGTTAGCTGAATTCATATAATTAACAGCAATAAAGGGAAAACTCGACAAATGAAATCGCATACCACTTCAGAGTGGTTTCGACCTTGCATAATACCGAAACACGGCTAAGTTTCTATCAGGTTGTTGTTTGGCTTAATTGACGTTTCCTTCTTAATTGTCACATCACATATTTTAGAGGGGTGATCATAGTCTAAAACTACAAAATATACTTGATAAAAATAACAAAAAGATAGTAGCGAATAAAACTTTTAAAATCTTTATAATAGCCTCTTCAACTCGAACATAACAACTTTTCTTACGAGGAATCATATCGAGGACTTTCTCAAATTCATAGTCCATAATGTGATTAAAACCAACACTTGATACGACCCTTCTACCATTAAAATACTTACCAAAGTATCAGCCAAAGTATCACTATATCAGCCACAGGGTTCCATAAGCTGATTATGTCTAGGCAAAAGATTCGTATCCGTGTATGATCATACTTGACTTCAACAGCAGAATTCCACTTTACATTCGGATTAAGGTGATGTTGGGGTAATAATTCCCAACAACCCAAGGTGGGAATACATTTTTAGAATGCCACTTGTCATCTAACATATTTAAAGCATGGAATACTTCAAGAAAAGCAGATGCATCGGCAGCAGTATATAACTTTTGATCTTCAGATAAATCTGTTAGCTCCCAATCTACGCCGAAACATCTCATAGAAGTTTTATTTAACTAAATTTATAGTTAATGTTTCTAATCCTAATTTTGGCGTAAAACTAGCACGTTTTTCATCGGTATTTCTTTCGATTCCATAATGTTCTTGAGACAGAAACTCTCCATAGAACATTTTAGTAACCAAAAGGCAGCGAAGATCCAACCATCCCCTACAACATGTATTATATCTACCATCACCATTGCTGGTGCTTATGCTATTATAAAACTGACTCTCCAAGCGACCTATATCCTTCTCAATATCAAATCCAACCTTGACTATATCTCTGTCAATTAAAACATCGTTGTTTGCTCCTCCGACTATAACAATACAGTTCTCAGCCTGATTGTCCACTGTAATGGTAGCCACACCAGAAGCTGCATACTCCACCCTCCCAACGTGGGTGATGTCTACTCCGACATTCTTCAAATTCTCTATGTAATTATCTCCGAATGTGTCTGTGCCCAACTTGGCTACAAGAGCCGTGTTTGCACCTAGTTTTGCAGCCATTACAGCTTGGTTGGCTCCTTTCCCGCCAAAACCCACCATGAACTTAGTTCAATGGACAGTTTCTCCGCCCTTTGGGAGAACTGGAACGTAACTGATCAGATCAGTCATACAAGATCCCACAACAACAACAGAGGCAGTCATTCTTAGCTCTGGTCTGCAGAACACCTTTTAAATAAATTATTTCAGTTTAATTTTGACTATAACTTTCATGCATTATAGTCGAAGTTTAGATAAAATCAGGGAACATGGTGGCTTACTAATTCCCAAATTCAATGTAATTTACATTTAAAAGAAGCAAATTACTATTTATGGCCTACATAGTTTGGAGAACTATAACTCAACAATTCAAATGACTACACATTGTTGCCTTCTTCTACAAAAAATAATTTAAGCTTAATTGATAGATAAAAATGTTTTATATATAATGTAAAATGTGATACTCATCTCATAGCGACTGCAGCTTGTATAAAAGCATTTTTTAATGAAAAATTTATTAAACATAAAGAATTGTTATAGGCTTTAAAATTAATATATCACAACTTAATCCTCCCTTGACAAAGAATCTTTAACTTATTGAAACTAGAAGACATAATACTGTTAAATCTAATCAAAAACTTTCCATGAACGGTTTTTTTTTCAAATGCAACATTACTGCTTCATTGGCTAAAGTTACAATTTATGTTTTGATGCGATGCAGAAGTTTTTTAGTAAAAAATGTTAAATTATCAGAGAGATCAATAAATAGTCTCTAGTTATCAATTAAATGGAATTCGATGGCCCCAACGTTAATGTGGCTCTTGCTATGTGTTGGTTCAGCCGACTTAATTATTATACATCCAAGTTTATTTTTTTAGTTTAGTTAGTTGTCATCCGGCCACACAGTATGCAACTTATATTGCAAAACAATTTATCAATTAGTAGTAATATATCAAAATAATGTCATTGTAATCTTACATGGCTGAAATGTAACGCTTGATTTATGTACGTAATAATTAATTGAATTTTGAAATTAAAAAAATAAAAAATATGAAAAATAACGTAAATCGAATCAACAAAATAATAAAGCATTTAATCAAACTATCTAATCTAAGAGTAGCTTCAAGGGGAGCTAAAATATGAATATTTGCATTAAGGTCTGTCTTCTGAATAAAATAATAAAACAATCAATTAGTAGAAGATGAGTTCCCCACAATAGCCACTCTATCCTGGAACTGAGGAAGACCTCCGTCTCTAGCTGTTACTGTGTCCGTCATGGTGGCAGTGCCACTGACGATATCAGTGAACGATTTAGGCTCCACAACTCTTGCTGGCTTTGAATAACTCGGCTGAGCCTCAGAATCTTTACCACGGCAGCAATCTGAGCAACCTTCCCGGAAAATATCACATTTGTACATCAGGAACCCGTAGATTATAGGATTAGTAACGATAGAGAGGTAGAAGAATATGTACACAAGTGACTTTTCTTCAGAAGTGTCGTAGCGTAAGATACCGTAGATAATCCCATAAGGTAACCAGGTTATCAGAGCAGTAGTCACAACCAGCGCTCCAGAAAGACGCTTACCACGTGACATACGAGGTTCCTTACAGCAGAGAGAGATCCAGATACCAGAGTGGATGAAGAGAGGCAGGATGTTGAATATGACCATGTTGAAGTAATCAACCAGTCCTTCCCAGTTAAAAGAGGTTTCTGCAGCATTGTGGATGGAACACTTACGGTACGTGTCAGTGTATCTAGAGTCGAGGTAGTGCTCCTCTATCCCTACAATAAGAAGTATTGCCTCTATGATAGGGAGGACCCAGCAGATGGCAATGATCACTCTCAACACTCTGTTAGTAGGGAGGAAGACACAGATGCAGGATATAGGTATGATAGCCAAGGTGTTCAGATCACTGAGGAGCCAGGAGGAGATAACACTGAGGACTTTACACCTCACAGTACCCTACCTCAGAGTAGTAGCCTCCCCGTAGATAAGACTGGGCCAGATGAAGCCAGGTCGTCTGATAGTAGCAGCAGCTAGGGAGAGGAGGATGTCAACTACACTCATGTTAACTAAAACAGTCCTGAACCTCTTCCGGTGCTTCTCTCCTCGGTGGTTGTATTTGAGGAAGAAGGCTAGAGTGTTTGAGTTCAGGAACAGCCCAACCACACCTGAAATTAAAATCTTCTATATATTTCCAGTAAGAAGTAAACCTTACAGTTTCAACTAAAGACTAAGTTCTTAGTTAATATAAACCATTTTGAGTTAACAATTTCCATAAAATGTTTATTTAAGTATCTAGTTTGACTAGCAACTGAACTCACCAAGAAAGATGACACAAATCCCTGTGACAAGAGTATACAAGTCATGTTCTGCATCATTATCTGGCTCTCCTACTACCACCACTACCATCGCTGGTAAGAGAACGTGATTTTACAGTTGTTAACTGTATAAATATAATATTATATTTGTTAGCTGTATAAATATAATCAAAATGCTGGCAAGCATTACCGTCGCCCTTATATTCACAATACTATTTACCCCCTATACTAGTATATCCCCTTTATTG